TTTTTTTATTTTTATTTTTTTATAAAAAATATGATATTTTTAAATTATTTTTTTATTATATTATAATTATAATTAAGTTATTTTTCTATATCATTTTATAATAAATAATCACACATAAAAAAATATTAATTTTTTTTAATATAATTAAATTAAAAGTGGGTATTAAATTAAAAATATAAACGGAGACGGGTACGGGTACGGGGCGGGTAAGTACATATATACCCGTACCCCGTACTCGTACCCGATTTAAAGTACCCGTACCTGGTCAAACCGGGTATTCCCCGTCAAAGTCGGGACGGGTTCGAGTATTACCCGCGGGTACGATATATTTGTCATCCCTAATTATATGGCATGCATATATAGGAATTGATTTAAAAATATTTAAGTTAGAGAGTAAATTAAGAATATTTTATACCTATAGAGATAAAATAACAAAACAAGTAAGGTGTTGATGGCTCACGTAGGACCGTTAAAAAACAGCGACATGATGATAAAGACTAGAGAATAACATTTTTTTTTTTACTTATATAAATTGAAGTTAATCCTAAAAATTTATAGCACTCACACACGTTAGTCTACCAATGGAACTAGACTTTTTGGTAAGCGGGTAATAACATTTGTGCATATTAAAATCAATTAATACGTTTTTGACCAAGTTAACAATACGGTACATGTATATTAAAGTGACAACACGGGATAGCTCGGGTGGCAATACGATACACACATATACTTTAAATATCGTTAAACTTTGCATTGCATGCCACGAAGCTTCTACAAAAATAACTAGAGAAAAACATGAAAAAAGTTCACAATTTTTTCTCTCCAAGTTTAAAACTTGAAAGATTTAGAAACTAGTAATTTATTAAAAAGGTAAAAACTCAACTAAGTTCCGAACCTCCTACCACAGTTTGTGCGTCAAATATAAGAGAACAATATTATAAAATCGCTATTAATAAATTTAAGAATTTTAGCAATTCAATTTTTTATTTAATTTTAAATTCTTAATTTGGATAGGACAATTTAATTTTCAATGTAGATAAAACTAAATTCTTAAGATTTTTAAATTTTATAAAACCAAATTCTTAAGATTAAATTTATTCTTAGGATTAAATTTTATAAAACTAAATATTAAAAATTTTATAAATATTAATTTATAAAATAATAATTTTTAAAATTATCATTAAATAATATTTAATAATTTTAAATATTTAATAATTAAAAAATTATTAATATTTTATATATCAACAAGGAAGAAAAATTTCAGTATTGTCTATATTTTAAATTCTTTATAAATTTGTCATCCAAACAAAAATTTAAATTATAGTGCATGTTAGCTACTAGTATGCATGTAAATTGGATCATTAATATATCTTATCTCGTCATTAAAATATTAATTTAGTATATGTATTATCTCAATTCATTAAAAGACCATATTAATGAATCAACCAAGGTGGATCATTAATATGATTATTTTTTGTTTATAAATATAAATATTTTGCTTTTAGTCTGTAATGGGTTACTTTGCAATTAATGAAGTTTTGGTGGAAGTTAACAAAGAATTTTGCCGGATGCACTACTAAAATTTCTTTTATTACATGTGATTTTTCTTACGAATTTTTTATAAAAATTCGCAGGAAACATTGTTCTTATAAATTTTTTTGCAAATTTTATCTGCAGATAATACCTTCGTGGATAATATATTTTTGCGGATTTTAAATTCTGCAGAAAAGTTTCCTGTGAATTTTTTCGCAAGAAATTCTGCAAGAATATTTTTTATGAAAAATTTAAAGAAATTACTACAAATTTGTTAGGCTTACTCGAAAAATGCATGAGTCAAAATTTACATGCATGACACTGCTCGAAAAGAAGGTAAATGGTCAAACACCTACTATGAATAAGGTAGAAATCTTGTTCGTTCATGCTCGAAATCGAAGGGAAGTGGTTTGAGTCGAACAATGATGAGTTCGAAAAATAGAGAAGTTATTGGAGGTTACCCATAGTTGCATCAAGGTAGTTATTAAACTGCAGAAACAAGACACGTGGGAAGAAACGGTTATGAGAAGTTATGCCCCAAACCCATGTAACAAGCATAGTAGATAGCGGTTATTCCCCATAATGACACATGCATCAAGTTAACTGCTCTTTAATGGTGCTATAAATATGCGAAAGGTAGTCATTTACAGAGGTCGGAAAAACTCATACTAGAACTAAATTCTCAAGCACTCTCCGCTGCGCATATGGCTTTCGTGCACGAAATCGTTTTTGGGTATGACTGCTTCTTGACCATATTTCTTTTCTCTTTCTAGGATTAGGATTAGTGTAATCTTAAGACTCCACAAAAACGCTTTTCTAAATTTGATTCTCAGTTCTAACTCTTGTCTGAAGTTTCAAAAAGTTCAAACTATTTATAAATGTTTCAGTCCCAGATAATCGATTATTTTAAAGAATAATCGATTATTTTGTTCTTCAGGTTTTCTGGAAACCAACCAAGAACAATATAATCGATTATTTTGCTGGATAATCGATTATTCTAGAGAGTTATTTCTGGGATAATCGATTATTTTGCAAGTAATCGATTATTGCAGCAAGGCATCCCATTTTGTCTGTTGCTGGAATAATCGATTATATTTAATGATAATCGATTATTTTGAGTTAGTTTTCAAAACTTCGTTTTAAGTCTCAAAATAACTTTTTAGTCCCTTTAACTCATCATCATACACTCTCTAATCAGTTTAGATATAGATTTTTCTTATGCACACAGCACACTCAACAAATAAACTCATTCAACACAATGTACATACTAATCCCTATTACATAGCACTTTCTTTGACTTTATTTTTGTCTTCTAAGTTGTTGTTGTTTGTTGTTGTCCTTGACACACATTTTGTGATCATCAAAACTCTCTTAAACTTTAGAGATAATCTTGATCTCATCAAGTTCAGGCTCCTCTAAGCTCAACATACCTTACCCTCATGCTCCTTCTAAGAAAGAAAATGAAAGACAGTTCTTGAGATTTCTGGATATCATAAAGAAGCTCCAGATTAATATTTCCTTCACTGAAGCCATGGAAAAAATGCCCACTTATGCTCGGTTCATGAAGGAATTGTTGACTAAGAAGAGAAAAATTCTTGAAGAAGAGACTGTGGAGCTTGAGGCAGGATGTAGTGCTATTATACAAAAGTCTCTACCTCAGAAGTCCAGAGATCCAGGCAGTTTCACTCTCCCTGTATCAATTGGTAATTTATCAATGAGTAAGGCACTCTTAGACCTTGGAGCTAGTATCAATTTGATCCCTTTATCAATGCTAAAGAAGATAGGGGAAGTGCAAGTAAGACCTACAAGAATGACCTTGCAGTTGGCAGACAGATCCATCAAGCTTCCACATGGTATAGTGGAAGATATGATAGTGAAGGTTGATAAATTCATGTTTCCGGTTGATTTCATAGTCATGGATATGGAAGAGGATGTAGAAGTTCCTTTGATATTGGGTAGACCCTTTATGAAGACAGCTCGAGTGATCATTGACATGGATGAAGGAAAGCTGAAGGTGAGGGTCCAAGATGAGGAAGTGAGTTTCAATGTATTTGAAGCAATGAAGTGTCCAAAAGGCAACAAAGATTGCTTTAGAATTGATGTATTAGATGATGTGTACTTGGAAGCTCAAAATGATTTCAAGAGCTCATCCCCACTGGAGAAGGCTTTGCTTATTTCTAATGAAGAATTGGATAAGGTCATAGATGAAGAGGTTCAAGATGTTATTGATGCACTAAATAAAAGAGAAAACTCTTCTGCCAATGTTCAGTCAAAAGAAGAATTGAAGAAGGAGGAAAAAGAGCAAGTAGTGAAGTTGTAATTGGATGTTAACGTAGCTGGAAAACACATGAAGTTACAGCTTCTTGAACTTGAAGAAATGAGGTTTAATGCTTATGAGTCTTCTAAGCACTGCAAGCAGAGAATCAAAGCATATCATGATAAGAAGATTTTAAAAAAGAGCTTCCAACCCGGTCAATCAATGTTACTGTTCAACTCTAGATTGAAGTTATTTCCGGGTAAACTCAAATCTAAGTGGTCAGGCCCTTTTTCAATTAAGTCAGTCAAATCATATGGGACTATTGAACTTGAAGACCCTGCCTCTGGAAGGACTTGGTTAGTCAATGGTCAAAGGCTCAAGCACTATCTGGGTGGTGAAGTTGAAAGACTCACTACCATTACTCATTTGAAGGAGCCATGATCATACAACTACTGTCAAGCTAAAAACATTAAATTAGCATGTTCTTGTTTAATTTCTGATTTAAGTTTTGAATTTTTGTCTTGAATAAAGTGCACTTAAGAATTTTTGTTCATAGAGTAGCTTGATTTCAAAATGCATGTTGTTTGATGATTGGAACGTTTGTTTTAGGATACGTTAAGATTGTTGATTTTGTTGAGGTTCTGTTGTGTTTTGTGTTAAGATTCAGGAAGTTATTTTGATGCTTTATAGTGGTGCTACAATGTTTTGGATGTTGGGTCTGTGATGATTTTGATAATTTTGGAGTGTGGAGTAAAATGTCTTTGTTCATAGGGAGGTTTGATTCCATGCTGTTTGTGGTGTTATGATAGGATGTTTTGCAATTGCTGACCCTGTTTGCTTCAAGGCTGATTTGTTGATGGAATGCTTGAAATCTTGTTCTAATGCAATTGTGTGTATGTAGTGCAACAATATGAAATAATAGAAAGGTTTGGAGTTTCAAGTGGGTGTTTCAAGTTTGCGTTTTAAGTCATATTTTTTTTAGGGAGCACAAGCCTGATTTGATGTGTTCTAATGGTTATAAAATTTTGCAAAATTTGAACATGTTGGGTGCACACTTTGTTTATAATGTCTTGGTGACTCTCATTGGCTTGAGCAGTTTTGAGAATTGTGAGGTTAGGAAGTTCTAGGGAAGTCAATAAAGGAATGTTGTTAAAATATGCTTTGAATGGCATACTCATGTGCTTTAAGGCATTTTTTTGTTTCCTAGAACTTTGAAAAATCAATGGAAATTTGTGTTAGAATGATTTTAAGCTTATAAATCAAGTTCTAAGTCTGACCGCTACAGCGATGCATTTGGCGCTATGGCGCTAACTTTCTGAAACAACAAAGCATTTTAGCGTTGGAGCGCCAGTTTTAGAGCTACAGCTCTAACTCTCTGCCTTGGTAGTATATAGTTGCTTAAGCTTCATCGCTTCAGTGTGGAGATTCACGGCCATAGCGTTAAGGATCATTGGCATTGCATTCTTTCTTCTATAGCTTCAGCACCAAATTCGCAGCTATAGCGCTAAATCTGGGGCAAAACATTGTTGGTGCAAGAAAAATCCCACCGCCCCACCGCTAGCTCCATAGCTAAAGCGCCGACTCCCTGGAACCCCACTTGAAATTCAAATTCCCAGTGCTGGAGCACCAGTTTTCACAGCAATAGCACTGATTTTCGGCCTGGGCTTGTCACTCTTTTTCTCCCTCTACCTCTTTGTCTCTCTTTTTCTCTCATTCATGAAACCCATTAACTTCTCCACACTTCAACTTTCCCTCACATTTCCTCTATAAAGTTCCCACTTTTAGGCACCAAGGTTCCATTTTTCTTAAATCATTTCACTCAAAAGCCTCAAAGAGCACCCTATTCACGTGGATTTCAAGGTGAAGCCTCAAAGAGCATCAAGGTTCCATTTTTCTTCTCTTCATTGCATGAGAAACGTGAGTGAGCTCTTTTTCTTTTATGACCAAGATTTATGATTCCTTGGTGGATTATTTTGATCAATAGAGGAGTGGTTTATGTTCATCCTCTTTTTGGCCTGCAAAGCATGAATTTGGGTGTTTGAGTCTTCAATATGGCACATGCATGAACCTTCTCATTTTCTGCCTGTTTTGTGCTCGAAGAAATGCCTGAATGAGAAAAGTATTTGATTTGAACACAATGAAAGCTTTGAAAAAGGTGGTCACTGAAATGTTCCATTTTGTGAAGAATTTTGAGCCTTGCATGGCAAGAATTCACATGCATGTTGTTTCTCCTTATCATGTCCATCAATTGCTTGGTCAAATGCCTAAGTGAATATGTGTTCTTTATCCAAAGTGTGAAGTCATTGATCATTGGAGTTAGTAGTAAATATTTGCTTGTTCATTGGTGGCTTTGAAATAACTTTAATGCTTCACATGTTAGAATGTTTATTGATCATTCCTTATGCCCCATGAAGAATTCTGTTTTGTTTGTATGATCAACTTGTGGATTAACTTGGTTGCAAGAATTGGTTGTCAAATTTTCAGATAGTTCGTTCAAGAGGTGGCGGTTCAAGCGGAAGCTCTAACGCCACTCATAAAATCCCAGCTGCACCAACCCCACCACCACCATCTAAAGTGGCCTGGGGACAGTCCTATATTTTTTGGAGGGGGTGGAGATCAAGGCGAACAACTTCATGGTGGGGAGTTGGAGCACGAGCAGGCAATGATAAAGAAGGAGATGATGGAGGGTCGTTGTCACCCTCGTTCTGAGAAAGAGGAGTTTCGCTTTAATTTTATGCCATTTTAAATTCTATTCATTTTAAATTCCAATTGTTTTAGTTTTAGTTTTGTTAATTGTTTGGACTATCTGGTGTTTTATATAACTTTTCTGAATTAACAATCAAAAAAAAATTTGGGAAAAATTGAAAATCATTCTTGAAAGGTAGGAAATGAGATGGCTTTTAGATCAACAAAAAGCAAAAACACATCTTTTGATTCACTTAAAAATGGTTTGTTGTGAGGCTTGCTTTGAGGTTGCACTCATCCAATTTGTTTGATCATGAAGTTGTGAGATATTTGATTAGCATGGCATGAAAGATCAATAATTGAACATTTAGCTAAGCTGGTGAGTGAGAGAGACTAAACAATGCATTTATCATATACACTTCTACTTTGAGAGCCATCATCATAATATATGTGTTTGCATTGGTTGAATCTTGAATGATTGCTCTTGTGAGAAGTTTTGGACAGGATCAAGGCATTTTAGCCATTCCATTGTGCATAATTGAATTCTTCTTAAGCCTAGAGCCAAACAGTAAACCATAATTGAATCCCTTCCTTGAAGCCTGTTTTAGCCTTAGCCTTTAGTCAACCTTAAGCCCATGCCAAATACCAACTCTTCACCCTAACCAAACTCTTGAGAGTACAATGAAAATGAATTGGGGATTAAGTTGGGGGAGTTGTTAAAATTGCTAAGGTTGAAAGGAAATATTGAAATCAAAATAGTGCAAAGTATGAAGGAAAGAGTCACCCCTCTATCAACATCATTGTTCAAATTCAAGTCAAAAGTAGTGCTTGTGCTTGTTAGTTTTATTCCATTGTCCCAAAAAATAAAAAAATCAAAAATCAAAAATCAAAATCAAAATCTAAGCAAGCACTTGCACATGAAGTCTCGAAAGAGAGGGGTTTCTTAAAATCTAGGCAGCAAATTTTGAGGAAAAAGGGTGTGTAAGGAAAGGAAGAATTTGGGCTGAGAGATTTGGTTGGAGTTGAATATTAAGAGTGAACAAGATGGAGTGTTTGGTTTATTTGCATTTTACTCTCTTGAGTTTAAACCTTTGTTCACCTGAAAAACCACACTTCTTTGCTAACCAAACCTCAGTAGAACCTTAAAAAAGTCCTTGTGATCCTTAATTTTCTCTCAAGGGGTGGTAATGAAGAGATGATATCAATGATTATGTTTATAGAAATGATGAGTGGAATTGAGAGAAACACTCAGCCTGGAGAGTTATTCTTATGAGAGTATGTTCAATTATTGGTTCATAATGTTTGTGTTATGAATTATTTTGCAATCTTTTTGGTTGAGCATGATTGGTTTTGTGGGCACCTCAGTGAGTAAAAAATGATTTTTGATAGTGAATTGATTGAGTGTTGGCCTATTGTTGATACAGAAGCAATCTCATGATGGGAAGTTTTCTTGTTTTGATTGGTGTTTTGTTGGGGACCAACAAAAGATTAAGTTGGGGGAGTTGTTGAGTGTCTTTTATTCCTTATTTACACTCAACTTTTGGTACTCTTTTTGGTAATTTTAGATAGTTATATATGTTATTTTACCCCCCTAAATTGGAAGAATTAAGTTATATTAAAAGAATAGAAGAGTAGTAGCAAAATCTTAATGAATTTCCTCCATTTGTGCAGAAAAATTGAGAAGGCAGAGATCCACAGCCATAGTTGTGGATCTGGAGCTCGAGCTGTGGAAATATGGGAAGGAATTAAAAGGCCAGAAAGTTGCAGCTATAGTTGTGGATCTGCAGCTATAGCTGTGGAAATCTGGAATTCGAATTTGAAGTTCTAGAGATTTGAAGCTAAAGCTGTGAACTTACAGCTAGAGCCATGGAGCACCCAGGACCCAGAAAAAGTTCCAGAGATCCACAGCCATAGCTGTGACTTCACCGCTGCAACACTCAAGTGAAACAAAACAACATGATGATTGTGAAAGTCAACATCCTGAGCATGAATTAGTTAAGATTGCAGCAACAAGGTTATATTTCTCAATACGTAAAAAATTGGTAAATGAACAGTTGAGGGATATGGCCCAGTTGGCAGAAAAGGTAAGAAGGATCGAACAAATTAAGTCAGAAAAGGAAAGGTTAAGAAACTTCGATAGATTTGTTCGGAAAGAAAAGGTAGCCTATTTAGAAAATGTCAAGATAAGTGAGGATACTAATTATGATATTTCGAGTGAGGATTTTGAGGTTAACTTAGCAGAGTTGCGCCCTGGACCTACGTATCAATGTCAAATGTTAAAACCAGGGGACAATATAGAAGGAGCACGACTAAGAGATATAGTTTTGATGTTACGAAGGCAGATAAAATATTTGATATTTTATTAAAAGATAAACAAATTGTACTCCCAGAAAACCATAAAATTCCACCATTCGAACAAAGAAAAGGAAAGAAATTTTGTAAATATCATAATATGTATGGACATTGGACTAATAACTGTGTGCGTTTCAGGGATATGATCGAAAAGGCGATTACTGATGGTCGCCTTGCTTTTGAGGAAAAGGACATGAAAGTGGACACTGATCCATTTGCTGCTCACACTGGTTATATGGAACCAGTCTCGATGGCCATCAACATGTTTGAAGTTAATGTCGAGGATGATGAAAACATTGAGCCTATTTCAGATGAGAAACTCGAGGAATTGATGGACGACTTCGCTAAAGAAGAAGAACCTATCTACCCAAAAGAGGGAGATAGTTTGGTTGAGTTTTTGTCGA